CCCTATGAGGTATGTTAAGTTTGAAAATGTGTGAATGGTCCATAATCCCCCAGGCAGCTTTTAAAACATGAACCTGGGACCTTGCACACCATCCTCTGAAGCGCTCTCGGGTACATATCTGTGGCAGTAATGGGGTGACTGCTGGCACCTTTTCCTATCATTTTTTGCCTTGTGGTATTCTGCTTGTGGTGTGATCTGCCTTTTTTGTGGTGTGGCATGATTGTGTTATTGGGTTTGTTTCTTTTGAAGGGGAAGTGATGTGTTGTGAGTGAGAACATATTTTACCTCAAAATACACCAGGTCCCATATGCAACTGACAGTTCCAACTGTCTTGTGGGGGGGGGAGTTTGAGGTGTGGAATGGAGTGAAGTCCAATCAGCTTCCATATGCAAATGACCTTGAAATGCTGGCCCAATCAGAGAAGAGTAGGCTGAAGCGGCCTAGCCATAGAAGCCCTGTCCCTGCACTCAGTCTGCAGATGGTCCTCTCCTGTCAGAGGCCCAGAGCATACTGAGCCAAACACGCTGGCCAGGGCTGATGTAGGCGGGACTACACAAAGCAGCCAGCCAACCCAGCCAGCATCTTCTGACTGACAGTTCTTGCGCCGAAACACTGTAGGTGTGCATTGGAACGTTGGACCCCACTACGGCTTTATATAAGGGGAGATATTAGTATGGCCTGCTTCTAGCTTGAGAGTTATTTTATCATTTTAGATGGCTGCATGTTGTTTTAAAGCTTGTTCAAGTAGTTGTAAGTCTTATAGGATTGCCAGGTCCCTCCTGGCAACCGGCGGGGAATGAGGGGGACTTAATGGGAGCAAGAGGGAGGGCCAGCCAACGTGCAGTGAACAACTTCAGCTGTCCCAGGCTGTGACTCTGAAGACCTATGCTGCCATATCCCTTGGCTACTTACCCAGACAATCATGAAGACTTCTAATTAGGAAGAAATAAGCAGAAACAGTACTTCCATGCACCTTATCTGACTCCCTGGTATCTTTGTGGTTTATTGGCTTTTGCTGCATAATACACAAGAGAACATCCAGTTTTCGTCACACTGTTAATCAGGGCCTCCAGACACTCAAATATCTTGCACATCTGTTTGCACAACTACATATTGTATCCTGTTTTAAAACAGTCTGATAGAAAAGTCAAAACAACAACAACCAACACTTAGAATGCACCACTGTAATTCATACACTTGGACACCTGTGTGTGTATACACACACAAACATAAGCACCTTTTAAAGTATGATTTTTAAACAAAAGCCTTTATCCTTTAATGCAGGACCAAAGTCTCCAAGAATCCACCATGCTAACTCGCATCAGTTTACATAAATTAAAGTTACATGTTTTCATGGTGTGGTGGTTAGAGTGTCAGGCTAGGATCTGGGAGACCCAGGTTTGAACCCCTACTCTGTGTGGAATCTTGCTGGATGACCTTGGGCCAGACACACCCACTCAGCTTATCTTAACTCACAGAATTGCTGTCAGGATAAAATGGAGGAGAGGAGAGCTACGTAAGCCCACTGGGGAGAAAATAAGTAAGTAGATAAATAAATGAATTAAAAATCTGCCATATACAAATATGTGTTATGGGTAGAATACCCCTTCTTTAGACACTTCTTGTGTACCCACTGCACATCCAAATACAAATCCACTGACAAGCCTTTATCAAAGAAACCCAGCTTGCTCAGCTACAAACTAAAACAATAGCAATTCAAGTCTCAATCAGTGTTTTAAACTCAAATTCACATGAATTTCTTTGATGGCTCCAGAGTTTACCTAAGACTTTGATTCAGAGTCAAGTTCCTAAGACTAATTCAGAATCAAGAAAGTTTCTTTTTAACATTTCAAGGACTGAGATTCATAGCACACTTTATTATTTTTTACAAAAAATAGATCACCAAGAGACCTTGACCCTCTCTCTGGGCTCACTAAAATTAAGTTTTTCCTCTTGCCTTTAAACTGAATGCAAACGAGTGTGGAAATGAGAAGACTTTCATTTACCCTTTGCAGATGATTCGGTATGTAAATGTATGCAAAGGTGTAAGTGAGAAATTCATTATTCTCTACAGCAAACGTGGGAGAAATAACATCAACATTAGTGCAACTTCAAGTAAAGGGAAAAGATCAACTTTTCAGAACATTCTGCATTTGCAAAAGTGAAGTCTTTAAAATATTTTATGCTGGTGGTTTGAAGTGGCTTAAACTCTCTCACAGGGCACAAGAAAAGAAGAACAGGTTGAGTCTCCTGCTGAAGAAGTCTGAATTGCACCCAAATCCCACCCATCTTGATGCTTTTGAGAAACTGACAAATGCTTCAAGGTGAGAGAAATTTTTAAAAATGTGAATTGCTCCCAGGAAGTGGTGGTGGAAAGTGCCATCAAGTTGCGGACTTACCAAGACCCCGTAGGGTTTCCAAGAGAAAAAATGAACAGAGGTAGTTTGCCATTGTCTGCCTCTGCATAGGGATCATGGAATTCTTTGGTGGTCTCCCTTAGATGAGTTTCAAAACCCACCCACTTAGCTATACAGGTATGTCATCTGCAGCTGGTACTAATTGGCCTAACAGAAAGAGAAGACTAGATCCAGGTTGGAATTGGGGGGGGTCCCTTTGTTTGAACACTTTCACCCCTTGTGAAATGCTTGTCCAATCTGCAGTTTGGAGGGAGCATGTGAAAAGTGTGTGAAAGTATTCACATATCCAGAGTGAAAGTAATTCAATGAACCAAGTATTGACTTGCTCTGAATTGGCTTTTTGCTATCAGCTGTGCCATCACATAGCCAAATCTAATTGGCTACATGGCTCTACAGTTTCATCAGTCTCAATCCATGATCTCTGGCTAGCTCAGAGAAGAAACATAACCCTCCTTCTGTATTGGCTTTGCTTGCCCTTCGTGATACCTTTACAAAGCCAAATCTGACTGGCTGTATGATGATGTCAGTGGTCGCAGAATAAAGATGCACACAGAAAAAATAGTAAAGCAAGAAACATTCAGGAAGCAGCCAATCAGCAAATAGGCTGTGAACAAGGAAAGGAAGTAGTGTTTCCAAGGTATAAGACCCCCCCCAAGTACTATGTTCACCCTGAAAATATTTATAGACAAACATTCACTGCAACTTGAGTAAGTTAATAAATATTATTTTACTGTTATCTGCTTAATTATGTTTTGTTCTAGGAACACCACATTTTCTTAAGTTTTTGCCTCCATCATGTGAGAGGCTTCTTAACTCGAAAATCTTTTAATACACAAGCTGCCTTAAAACACACAACAGCCCCAAATGAATTATAACTTCAAGGGAAAGGGGAGGTGTAGCTAGATAGCAAATCAGCACTATGAGATTTGTACATGCCTCCTGGTCACTGACATGTCTGCCGATCAGAACACCAGTTCCCCTTACACCTACCACGAGGGAAACAATCTGCAAGGTGCTATATTCTTTAAAGGGTCCTCACAGTGAACAGGTATCGCCCAAGATAAATATTTTCAGCTCTAGTCTAACAAAATGTTCCTTTCAACCCTGAAATTTTTTATTCTAACAGTGCAATCATAAATTATATTTAGATTTTCTACTCTTCTAAGTCCACTGAAGTTAGTGGGCTGTTGCACGGCCATTCCCACAGGTAATAAAATAATCTATTTCCAAGGAGATATTCACAGAATGCATGCATGCATAATTATGTAGCATCATCAGGACATGTAAGGACTACGTTCTCTCTTTTGCGGCCACACATCCCACTGTGCAAGCCAGTATGCAGATTTGGGAAGGGATGCTTAACGCCAAGATAGATCCTTCCCTAGGCCCAAGACCTGGTCAGGTCACAGATGGCGATTTGTTGCCAGTGGCTTGGCTTGTTTTCCTGAGTTCTCTGCACTTTGTATTGTCTGCTCTGAATTGTTCCTCCCCACACACAATTTTCTGCCATCGATTCAATGATGGTCCTTGGAACCAATACTCCCTCTAAGCAAAAATTTTGCTTTGTGAGCTACTGGCATTAAAGTTGTGAGTGAGTGATTTGGCTGGTATTTGTTTGCTCTGGATACATCCTTCCTGAGCTAAGACAAAAATGTGTGAGTTGGAAGCCAAAAAAATTGTGTACTTGCTCACACTAACTCAGCTTAGAGGGAACACTGCTTGGAGCTAGTCTAAATCTCACCTGCAAAATGATTATTTTCTAGAGTGTCCCCTAAATGTTTAATCTTTCATAGGTAAGTATGCATCATATGTGTGGTTAGGTATATAGTCTGTGATGGAGCTCCCATGCCGTTGTCTGCTCTGTATACAGTTTTGAGTCTCGTGTTGTGCTTTTGATTCCATTGTAGTATGTGCTACATACTACTATTAATAAGCCTGGTATCATGTCTCAACGTTATTACTCAGTGTCAGGGGTCTTGAAACTGCATACCTTCGCTAATCACATGATTTTCTGTGGGCTTCACCCACCATTGCCTGGCCCGAAATTGGCCCCACCTACTCTATCTACTGCTTTGTTACACCAGCCTTCCATTTTCTTACACCATTCACTGACACACACACACACACACACACACACACACACAGAGTCTAAATTCTGCAAGTCCCTCCCTGGGTACAATGATTAATCTTTTGTGGAAAAGTGATGTGTAATAATAATAACAATAATAATTTGCCTTAACCCTAGTTCCACTAAACCCTGAACAACAATCCAACAAATATACTAAAAAACAGTTATCTCACAAAATTTTTAGCCCAAAATGAGACTATTTCTACTGCCTTTCTGTGAAATACAGAGAGATCAATATACAGTATTCACAGTTTGACATATTTGATTAAAAAAATACACCATTCATTTTTATATAAAAAAAGAAAAGAAAATCCAGCGCTCCAAAAATAGTGTGACATTTTTAAAATGTTCTCTTTTTTGCGGTAAATAAAATGACAGGCTACATGTGTTAATGCTGTTGTGGGGCCACAGCTTCTGCGTCTTTGTTTCCATATACCATAGAACTTCCTGCACGCAGTTAAAAATAGCCTGTGGTCACAGAGCCATCAACAACCTGCATTTGAAACTAGATCTCTGCACAGGCATTTCACTGGAGCTCCCAAGCCTTTCTGTTTGCACGTCTGTGTGTGTGTGTGTGTGTGTGCGCGTGCATGCATGTTGGAGGTGGTAGGGGTGGGGGAATTCTATAATTCAATAAGAAAAAAAAGTCAGCACCATTAAACCAGCTGTTTTTGAAGGCTCGAGGGAAGGAGTGTCCTTTTGTAACGTAATTGTGTGTGTGTGTGTGTGCGCGTGCATGTTGGAGGTGGTAGGGGTGGGGAAATTCTATAATTCAATAAGAAAAAAAGTCAGCAACATTAAACCAGCTGTTTTTGAAGGCTCCAGGGAAGGAGTGTCCTTTTGTAACGTAATCTAATGCAAAACCATGTGAAATATAGACAAACTGGAAGCAATAGAAGGGGACATATGTTGCAAAGAGCCTTGACATACACACCACACATGACTCTCTCTCTTTTTTTTTGTCTTTTACAGCATGTCCCCTGAAGAAATAAAGAAATGGGGTGAATCTTTTGACAAACTTATTTCACAGGAAGGTTAGTACTGCCAGTGTTTTCATCTGGAATTATATTCCATAAAAGCCCTGTATCATTTTTTTCCTTTCACAAGTAGCCTCAGATCTATTTTTCATGCCAAAATGTCTCATTATGATTATCCTTCTACAGTGGAGAACTAACTGTGCGTAAAGTATGGAAGTCTATTAAGTTCGACTTCCAACGACAAATGGATTGCCGTAGGAGATGGTCTTGAATTCTGATAGGAAAATGGACCTGAGAAAACTCAGAATGACTGAGCTTCTCCAGAGAATAGTTTCATTCAAGATGTCATATTGCTCAAAAGCTACACTTAGTACTAGTGGAGATCTGACACACAAGTTAGGGTTAAGTGAATGATATATTACATAGGTTAGATTCGAATCCAGTTGCATCTTAGAAACCAACAAGATTTTCAGGGTATAGATGCTGTATGTAGTATCACTGCAAGTAAAGGTAAAGAAGTGGAGCCCTAAAGCAGCAGCAATGGGTCACCCATACACAAGGCAGTGGTTTTTTTATAAATTCAAGAGACTCTCCGGGTATATACTTTGGAAAGCCATGGTGATACTGCATTGGCATACAGGTCAGTAAATGCCATCCTAAAAGACGTCTGGGTTTGTTTTATGACTGGATTAGGAGCATCATCATGAAACCTAATTAATTCAGTTTAATTGGTAGCTTAACCAACTAATGCTTTGCACAGCAGATCAGCCAGTGCCTTCTGCTGTATGTGCATACAATGGGTATGTAAACTTCAATATTGTCCTGCAGAAAGAGAACAAAACATATGTTTCTAACAACGTCGGAAACAATATTTGCTGTAATGCAATCAGCAGTTTCTTTGATCATTATAAAAGAGGGAAACAAATCTTAAGGATTTTTTTTAAAATTATCTGCCCCTCCCCTACAAATTTCTATTTTCCTCATATGATGCCCTAGCTAAAGGAGGGAGGCTATCACTTTCCAAATGTTTTCCCCTCCATATATATAAGTTCTCACAAAAGTGATAAAATTGTTGTCCACAACACACTTCTGGCAGAATGAGGTGAAAGTGCTGAGGTGATATCATATGCTACTGTGTACTGTGTCAGATTTAGGGTTGCCAACAACGGCTTGGGGACTTCCTGGGGATTTGAAGGCATTGCCTGGTGGAGTCTGGAGAGGAGGGGGGACTTATTGGAGATATGATGCTCCTGATTCTGCCCTCCAAAGCGGCCATTTTCTCCAGGGAAATGGGAGATCAGTAGTCATTCTGGGAGAACTCCAGGACCCATATTGGAGGTAATTAACACTAATCAGACTGTGGGTGAAGAATTACATTTTTCAGAGTTCTCCTTCCTATGACAATAATTCCATGTGAGTGGGGAACTAACACAGTATGCAGGGAGTTTTTATAGAGAGGGAGAATTAAAACGGTGACTCACCTCACCTACAGTCTGAACTGGTACAGCCTGTTCTACAACCTTAAGTTTCTACCATAACATTCTGCCCCCCCCCCCCAAAAAAAAATAAATAAATCTTGGCACATGAAATTTTTTTTCAGGAGGAACGATTCTACTTGAAATGTATGAATGCTTTTTCACCCCACGGGACAGCATTTCCTAATATGTGAACCCATTGCCCAGGCTCAGCTTTACCGCCTCAGCAAGAACTAGGCTATATTTGCAAGGATGCCAAGCAGTGATTTCCCAAAGTGGTGTCTGAATTCTCTCAGTACCTGCCCTGATCACCATGGCCCTGATACTTCTTCAGTATGAGTATAACCTAAGACAGAGAACACCTCTTTACACCACTGCTCTCACTGGACCAGTGTCACAGTATTTGGACCCCATCATGCTCCCAGTTATGTCACCATGAGTGAGACTGTGTTTGAATGTCACAACCAGTGTTCCCTCTAAGCTGAGTTAGTGTGAGCTAGCTCACAGTTTTTTTAGCCTCTGGCTCACACCTTTTTGTCTTAGCTCAGGAAGGATGGCTCCAGAGCCAACTAATTTATGCAGCAGCCAAATCACTCACTCACAACTTTAATGCCAGGAGCTCACAAAGTGGAATTTTTGCTCACAAGACTCCGCAGCTTAGAGGGAACAACTGGACTCAAAATAAGCTTTCTTTCCAAATAGTTGTTTGTTGAGGAGAGTTAGCCCACTACTAACATTCAGCACACATAACCTTCATTAAACCAACCATGTGTTTTTCAGTTGTTTCAAGATTTCTATTCTAGACAAAGAGTCACAGTTGAAAGTTATGACCTAGACTGCCTCTTGCAATTAAAGCAAACCACCAAAATATGTATGATTTCAGTGACCCTTTTGTTACTTAATGCTGCTGAAGAGAAATCCCAAAGTAGATTTGGGACTACAGTTGTAATCTAAAAAGTATTTGTGTTTCATCATCTAGCAACCCTCGTTTTGAACGCATTTGACAATCAAACTTTCTCTGTTGTAGCTGGGATGGATGCATTCACAAGGTTCCTGAAATCCGAATTTAGCGAAGAGAACATTGAGTTTTGGGTGGCATGTGAAAATTACAAGAAGATCAAAGACCCTGTTCAACTTTCACTCAAAGCAAAGGAAATCTACAAGATGTTCATTGAAAAAGATGCTCCAAAAGAGGTATAATGCTGGCATCTTATTGATCTAACTGCTTTTTTTCATGGATTTCTACATCTAAACCTCACCTGACTAAACCCCAGAGGTTTTGATATGCTGCAATAGAACATACCAGCCACATAGTTGGGTCTTTTTTTTAACTGTACAAAAATCAAATGATGAAAATAACAGGCATAATCCTGTTATTTTAGCATAAACTGAAATTTGTTCAGTTGAAATCCATTGGATTTTTAAAAACAACATTTGCCTAATTATGCCTAATCTCTAAACTTCCTTACTGGTAGAGCAGTCATAGAGTATGAGCCAGCCAAGTTAAGGACATTTAAGTCCTATTACTTTATATGGGGCATTAATCACATTATGAATTTTCTCTCATGGAAGCCAAGAATGTAAAGTTCTTATCTTTGTCTATATCATACTCACTCTTTGAAAACATGTCAGAGAAATTATAGTGCATACCACAACAATATCATTGTGAAGTACAAATATATATCTGCCCAAGAACTTTATCTGTGCATATCTGAAATAAGGATGTAAGAATTAGTCTTCATCAGTCTGCTAACCAGCAATTACAGATCCAATTACTATTACAAACTATAACTATTACATTGCCAAGATTTCAGATAATAAGCCAAATGAATAAAACAAATCACCAATTTAAACACAGCTTTCAGGGTAATAATCATACTCCAACAAGCAGGAAGAAAAGATGGACTGCAAATGTGTTCCAGAAAACAGTATTAACAATGTCATACACATGGCATGTCACATGTAAAAAAATATACACAGTCTAGATCAGTCTATCAGATCAGATCAGTCTAGATACTCATATTTTACCTAAGTGGTGGCTCAAGTGGTTAAGATGCTGAACTGCAGACTGGAAGGTCAGTAGTTCGGCAGTTCGAGACCCAAATGCTGCATGACGGAGTGAGCTCCCATCTCTGGTCCCAGCTCCTGCCAACCTAGCAGTTTGAAAGCAAGAAATTGCAAGTAGATAAATAGGTACCACTTCGGTGGGAAGGTAACAGCGTTCTGTGCGCCTTGGCGTTTAGTCTTGCCGGCCACATGACCACGGAAATGTCTATGGACAGCGCTGGCTCTTCAGCTTGGAAACGGAGATGAGCACCACATCCCTAGAGTCGGATTCGACTAGCTTTCGAGCAAGGGAAACCTTTACCTTTACTGTCTCTACATTGGGTACCATGTATGCATGAATGGATGAGGAAGGATGGTCTGTATATGACTCCGTCTTACCGTGTCTAAGAGACCTCATCCATCTCCATGTTCCACCACAACATACACAAACTTGCTCAGTGTTACATCAATGCATCAATTAGGTCCACATGAGTGCACATTCATTGACACTCTCTTCCCCTGGACTAACCAAGGCTGTATGTCTTCTCAACACAGATATTTTTATTCAAAGTGGCTTTGGATGGTTAGGGTTAGGAAAGACAGGGGAGAACTACCACATTGGCAACCACCCCAGTGCTTCTGAATGATCTGGTCTGGAAGTCCAATAAATGAATAAATAGTGCAGACACACACTGCACCACTAACACCCCCTTCCCACGCAGTCCCATTTGGCAGAGACTGTGCTGTATCTTATCATTTTCACTCACTAGAAAGATGTCTCCAAGTGTAGCACATTATTTCGGCTCATTACTATAAGCTTTAGAAGCTGGGAAGGGGAAATAACCATCAGAAATAAATGCCTGTTGGTTTTACTTATGTAAACAAATGGCAGAGATTCAGTTATTTGACTCATAACAAGCAGGGGGCACTAGCAGACACCATACAGGTAGAGGCTAAGCCTTCTCCAACCCCACAATGATCTCAGTGGGGGAGGTTTTGCATCCTTTCAACTGCATCTTAGATTACTGTCTCACAGTGCAGCAGAAGCCATTGGGAAGTGTACCAGCCCCTTCCTGAATGGTCCCACTTCCTTCAGCTGTGCGTCTCTATCCAACATTCTGCCCTTTTGTTTCTTGGCACGTTGATAAAGAAGATGAAATCTTGAGCTTTTCCAGGTATGACAATGACAGAGACTGTTAGGGACATCTATAGAGGTTACAGTGAACATCCAAAATTACTTGTTGATATTCACGTATGGATGCTGACATTCCCAGATGTCAGGCTTCTATTCGTCTATTGAAATAGTCTACCAAAACAAACAGGGACAACAGATGAGAAATATGCTTTGCTTCTTTACACTGACTGCTAAAGTGCAACCCTATCAAACCGGGACAACACATGAGAAATATGCTTTGCTTTACACTGACTGCTAAAGTGCAACCCTAAACAGAGTTGCACCCTTCTAAATCCATTATTTCAGTGAGTTCAGAAGAGTGTAACTCTGCTTAGGACCACAATATAAGACTTAAGTGTAGTGGTGGTCATTTTCCCTGGCACAGATGGGCTACATGCTGGCCTTGGAACTATTTCCTGCAATCTGCTGTTCCTTTGCTAAATTGCTATCGTACCACAGCTAGGTTCTTGACCTGTACATGACTTCTCCAGCCAATGGCTGCCACTGGACAATACACTGAACAGAATTCCATCTCCATAAGTGCCTGTGACTGTCTTCAGCACATTCTGAGCTCAATGTGACTGCAATCTGATGTAATTGGGCTAAAAGCCCATTCAACCAGTGCTGTGATAGCCATATAAGCTCTTCAGCACCCACTAGTGGACCTGGAACTAATTGCAGGCTGAATATATTCTAGCAGCCATCATGCATATGTCTTATTCCAAAGTCATACAGAGATAAAACTTGATGTGTGCCTCTTACCCAGCACATAGAAGGGAGGACTCTAAACTGCAAGGATGAAAGACCATTAAAAAGTTGCCTACATGAAATTTAGAAGTACATTCTCAGGGCAATTTTAAATATAAAAATACTTCTGAACAACGGTGTAAGTTTGATTAATCCTCCCACAGTACAGGGCAACTCAGTTAAAATCACATCATGCTAAGAGTCCAAATATTCCTACATATCCTGCATTGTGACACACTGGATAAAGTGATAAAGTGGGTCATTCCGTAGAAAAAGAGGTGCAGGAGCTCATTAGCATAACATTAGCATAACTTATTTGCATATGCCACACCCCCTGACATCACCAAACGTGTGTCAGAAGGCAACACCCACCGCTTAGGCTCCACTGGACTGTTTTGGATTGCCAGCTATTGGGGGGTGGGGAATGTGCAGGTCTGCCCTCACAGAGGAGGGAGAGCTTGTACCTGAATAAAACTTGATCTTAAAGGTGCCACTGGACTGTTTTGGACTGTTTTGGATTGCTAGCTATTGGGGGAGGGGGAACGCGCAGATCTGCCCTCACAGAGGAGAGAGAGCTTGTACCTGAAGGCGGGAAGGGGGGGGGGCTCTGCAACTTATCTGGCTGCAGTGTCATCGATGCAACGAACATGAAGTTGAGCAAACTTCAGAGGATGGCGGAAAATCGGAAGGCCTGGCGGGAGCTGGTCCATGGGGTTGCAAAGAGTCGGACTCGACTGTGCGACTGACTGAACAACAACAACATATATCTTGTATAATAATTCCATTTTCATCTGGCAATGTTCAATGTGCTCCAAAATCAGTTGGGTGCCTCATCTGCCACTCAGAAGGCACTGCCTGCATTGGCTGGCTCCGTTGCCTGAGTCCCACCCACAGAAGCAGCAGCCAGCGTTTCGGGCTCAGTGTGTTGTGAGCTGGCTAACTGGACAGATGCTCCGGTGGGCGGAGGAGAAAGGGAGGAGCGCAGCGAAAGGCCAGAAAAGCTAAGAAAACTGGCCATGGAGAAACGCGTGCCCCTACGGGCTCACTGCAGACCCCATTTGCCCCACCGAAACCCTTTTACTGGGAATGGAGTCCCCCCGAAAATTCCCCCCACCGCCATAGTCTGACAGCAGGCCTCTGCTGCCTCCTCTGCTTCCACATGTCTGGCCCAGCAGAGAGAAGCCAGACCTATGTCGCAGCGGCCTGTGTGGCAGCCGGGCAGAGGGGCGGCACACGGGGTACTCAAAAGCCAAGGGCTGGCCGGCTGAGTTGGCGAGTTACCGGGAAGTGTCCTGGGCAAGCTCCATCTGGCCCGCCCTGGGGCCCCCAAGCCACATCGCTGCCCGCCCTCTGATGTCGCTCACCAGCCTGGGGGAGACCGGCCCAGGTGGCGTGGAAGCCCCAGTGGAGGCTGGCTGACAGGCATGTGTCATCGTCTGTGAGGAAGCCGAAGACAGCAGTGGTGGTACCTCAGCCTGGCCCTGCCGCTATTTTGCTCCTCCACCTCTCTCATGCAGAGCTCTGAGGAGGAGGAGGCCGCCACCTCTTCTCTCCATGCTGAGCTGCTGAGCTGCCCCCCGGTCTGCTTCAGCAAGCACTCCATGCCAGGGGGCAATGGCACAGAGGTGCCGGCGGACTCACAAGTGGCCAAGGAGAAAGCAGTGGCGGGGATGGCAGCAGCTGCTGCGCCAGGAGGGTGCCCCTCCACTGTCTGCCCTGTTGTGCTCTGGCAAGGCGGCTCTGCCGCCACTCCACAGTGGGTCTCGCCATCAGCACCACCACCACAAGGCCTCCCCACTGAAGAGGCACCGATGCACCAACCCCCTCCTGCTGCCCACCCCTGGCGGCAGCAACCAGGATGCCGGCAGAGGCAGCAGAGGGGCGCTGCTCTACCCTCTGCTGGCCACAGAGGACAAGGATGACAATGGCCCTTCTTCTGGTGAGGGAAGGGTGGGGAGGGCCCAGGGTGGCTAATTCCAGAACTGGCCCTGCGTCCACCGGTGGTCTGGCCATGGCACTTTGCCAGAGCTGCCGGGGGCAGGGGGTTTGCCCGAGTGCTGCAGCCCACCACGCTCTCCCATGCTCTCTTCCTAGAGCTTTTTGCATTTCTTGCCGCAACAAGCCTTATTACTAGTGTGTGTGTGTGTGTGTGTGTGTATAGTGAGTGTGTGTGTATATATGTGTGTGTAAAGTACCGTCAAGTCACAGCTGACTTATGGCGACTCCAGCAAGGGGCTGTCAAGGCAAGTGAGAAGCAGTGGTGGTTTGCTATTACCTTCTTCTGCAATCTTCCATGGTGGCCCTCCTTCCAAGTACCGACCCTGGTTAGCTTCTGAAATCCAATGAGATCAGGCTATACTATGTTGCCTTCCCTCTTGTCCATTGTATTACATAATAGAATGGGGTTTTGAACTTTAGTGTCTCTGATCCAGACATGTTTAGAAGCCTAACCGTAGTCTACCATCAATGGGTTCCAGTATGTTTTTTTGACACAGAAATAACTCCTGTGTGTGGGGAAATGCCTATGGTAATGTGGAAAAGTTTTTTAAGTTCTAATGTCTATGCATCAACAGAAATCAATGAATGAGAAATAACAGAATAGAAAACTGGTGTTATTGTGGGTATTTTGTATTTGTGTGTATGTATGCATGTGCATGTATGTGCTTAAAAGTCGGGTTTTCATGGTGACTCTTGCAGACCCCTACTGGGCCATTTTTCAGAGAGGTGGCTTGATTGCCTGCCTCTGCATCTTGGCCCTGGTATTTCTTGGAATGGGAAGGTCTTGAACCATAGGCAATAATTGTTGTGTTACCATGCAGGCTGATTTTCCTTCTTGCTCCCTAGGTCAACCTTGACTTTAACACCAAAGAGTGTGCCAGTCAGAGTATCAGCCACCCTGCACTCAACAGCTTTGATGCCGCACAGACCAAAATCTACACACTGATGGAGCAAGACAGTTACCCGCGCTTCCTGAAGTCCAGCCTTTACTCAGATTTGCTCAACAACAGGCCTCTGGGCTATTCTGCACTTCGAAGAAGATCACGTTCTTTTACCATCAATGAATTCAAAGATGCTCAGCCAGATTTTGCCATCTGGCTGTAAAGAAACAATCCCTGTTGGAGTCTACCACTTTGAGAGTACAGGGGTACTGGCTGAAAGTCATTGCCTCAAGTGACTTATGCAAATGTAGCTACAGATTCCCATGGAATTATGCCCATTTCCACCTGTTAATGACCTGGTCCTCAAGTTTTTTCCCCATTAGTTTTACTTGGCACTGGTGATCCCTGCCCCACCAACTTTTTTTTTTTTACTCTCAGGGGCCTCCCCACAGTGGTTTGAGGCCAGGAGTGATCAGTTGCATAATAATCCCCTACACAGCCTGGAACGTCTACACTGAAGAAACAAGAAGGGCCCCACTGTTATGGAGAATATGCTATGAGACATTATACTAGAGACTGGAGATCTACTTCTTGCAATTTGAAAGCATTTTGGGTTAGGGGAAATTTGGGGGGGGGCAGATAAAAATAAAGCTTCTGGGCGTCTATCTGTCTTGAGAGCTGACAGTAGGCCAGCACATTACTTATTGTAAAGCGACACACCTAAGATTTTTAAGCTAAAATATTCACATGCAACGATGTCCTTTTTAACACATGGATAAAGCCAGCACAAGCCATTCTGGTAGAATAAGTGAACAGCCTTGGATTTGCAGATGATGAGGAATAGAAAGTGGGCAGAGGCTGAGGGGTGTTAATACGCTGGAGTATGTTTTCCTGTCTCCTTTTACATCACAGGCATACAAATTATCAGAACACAAAAGCCACACCAGTGCTGAAGTGCTCTTTTTTTATAAGTAGTGTATTGAAATTTCCCACACAAGAGTACAATAAAAAGAGAGGAATAATACACAATTAAAAAAAAAATGACAGTCAGAGAAACATACATTATCTGGGCGGTACAAAATTGTCCAGAAGAGGAGTTCCAAAAATGCTGTCTCAGAAAGCCACTTCATATAATGTTGTCTACAAGTATATGCCTTGATAGACGTGAATATTAGCTACTCTCTTGTATGGGAGAATGTAAAGGGGGTGCATTTGGGTCTCCTGTTGACTTGGGGATCAGATCTTCCCCTTGTCTTTGGCTGACAACAGCATCTAGGGCAAGAGGCAGTCCCCACCTCCACCAATGTTCGCATTGCACCAATGGGAGCCCTTGAGCCGGAGCCACTTAAGTATAACTGATGCCACTCAGGATCACACTACAGTGTGATAATAGAGAGTGTCACTAAGATACCGAAACCGGGATTTGCCTTTCCTATCTATGAATGGAATGTAAAGTTTTTGCGGTGTGCATATAGCCTGAATCATGCATGCTGATGCAGAAGACATTCTCGCTGAGTCCAATGAGTAGGAGATTTACTTCCAAGCAAGTGCGGCTAGAATTGCAGCCAATTACATTGGTTTAAACAGAAAAGATACAAATGCTCTGAATTCTGTAACTAACATAGGAATGGATAAAGACGGAGCTTAGATGACATCCTTACCATAGTAGGTAAAAAGCTGGGGCGGGGGATGAAAAATGGGGAGTCAGTGCTATAAACTGAATACAGTTTTTATTTTGTTTTCCCTGAACGCCACGTGAGATGTGACTGGGTCCAGCCTGTGAATGATGCCACCATTTTAAAGGGATTTTAAAATGCTGGAAGGGCTGAGGCACTCCAGTCCAGCCTCCCCCCCCTTCTCCATGCTTTTTCCAGGGCCGAAATCAGGATTGGAACCTTGCAGCATTTTTAAATCCCTTTAAAATGGTGGCAGTGTGGATGCAGTCATGTTTAATTCAGCCTTAAGGAATGATTTTTGTCGTGTTTGGGAAATGCCTTAAGGTACAATTAGTATTTATTCTGCCCTTGCATGTGGAAGGGTGGCTAAAGTGGTCTAACCTATCTCACAGTGTTAGGAGGATAAGATGGAGAAGGCTGAAATAAACAAATGAGGGAAGGAGACAGATAATGTGGGGCTCTTACAGCATAAGTAGAAATAGTTCCGGGGGGGGGGGGAGAATGAGGCAGCATGACCCTGGATTGCACCCTTAATAAGCTATCTGTGTTGCTTTAAGAACTAGACTGTAACCAAGACATATTTTTTCTTTTACCATATTTGCTGAAAATCACTTTCCATGTGAATCAAGGGGATGTCCTGCATGGATTGACAGTGATATTATATTAGAAAATAAAGTACAAATGTTGAAACCATAACAAAGGAACGAGAATTACTGAAGCACTGAGATCACAGGATGTCTGCCATTCCAGTTTCCAAATTAAGCTGTTTGCTGAATACGCTGTCTACAGACAATTGGTAGCAGGGAAGGAGAGTTCCCTCTCTTTAAATATTTACCATTCAAGTCATGCTTCCAGTCCCAGAGTCAGCATGTGTCAATTACTCAGCCTTTTTTGCTTCAGGGAGTATGGCAGGGATATCTTGTAGCACACGGCAGTTCTTAAAATATTAAACATGGGTTTCATTCAATAATTCAGCAATGACAGGATTTAATAGTAAGTATGACTTGTATAATCAAGTGCATTGCATAGAAATTGCTTTTTTTCCCCTTTAAAAACCAATCAAAGAAAGAATGCATGAGAATGTTAATTTGTATACATTGTCCTGACAGAGTGTAAATAGGTTGTACTGCCAATCTGCAATACTTTTTTTTGTTTGTTTGTTTCAATACATTTGAGAAACTAGTACAGTATTCTTCATTTTTTCCAGTCCACGACACTCATTGTGCTAGGGCAGGCTTGACAAATCCCAGACGCCAGGATGCCAGAGTGCCTAGAAATTTAATTTTGGTGCCTAGCATTTTCCGCGGCCAAGTGCCTCTTGGTGATACTGAGTAGAAGTACAAAACTCATTAAGCTGAGGGATAGGGGTTAGCTTTTGTTGTGATGACAACTAGCATTGCCCCGTATTTATTTATACATTACAACACTTTTGTTATAGCTTAAAAAATGACAAGAAAGAGTTTAGGATTAGGTTTTGTGGTAGCAATAATGAGAAAGTGGGTTCATTAGAATAGAAAAGTGTGAAGGCTGAAAAGCCTGGCTACTAAATTTTTGGGGTGAATCCTAAAGCCGAAGAAAATTTGTCAAAGCCTGAACTAATGGTACTATAACTCCTTGGGGTCAAGCTTAATGCTCTGATCGAAACAAGGATGTTTCCAAAATTGACAGTGCATCTATCCCCTCCCCTTCAGTCCTATAACATCTAACACAACTTAGACGTATCCTGACATCACAACAGTCTGTATTTCTCCAGCAAACAAGAAGTGGATGGAAGGAGCTCAGAACATGGATAGATTCTACTGGGTGTTAGAGGGGGAGTAGGGACCAGACACACAGCTTCCATTTTCAGCAGCATCTGTGCATTTAATATGTCTCTAGTTTGGCCCTGTCTAGGTGCACATTGTATGTAACCACAGTGGTTTTCTGTGCCTTGGTCACACAGTGCTGCAATATTCATGAGCCAAAGATTCAAGTCTAGGGTTGCCAGACCCCTGGTCCAGGCAGGGGTTCCCCAATTTTCAGGGCTTCAGCCCGCCACCAGCCAGCTGACCAGAGGGGGAAGCCCGACCCCCCAACAGGCACATTGTGCATTGATGTTGCCAGTGTAATGACATTGTGCAGAAGTGGTAACCATTGAATTTTGGCCAAAATGCTAGAGCATTGCTGCGCAACATTCCCAGCATGATGATGTCACCTCAGTGTGATGTCATTGCACCAGCTCCTCCACATGCAGCTGCTGGTGTGACCTTGGTTCAGTCATAAGTTCTTTCAGAGCCGTTCTCTCAAGGGCAGTTCTCGAGAGAGCTCTCTCAGCCCCACCAACCTCACAGGGTGTGTATTGTGGGAAGGGAAAAGGGAAGGAGATTGTAAATTGCTCTGAGACTCCTTTGGGTAGTGAAAGGCAGGGTATAAATCCAATCTCCTCCTCCTCCTCCTCTTCTTCTTCCCAGAGGGCTCCCACCCACTCCCCACTGGCAGAACAATTGGACCTGGCAATCCTAGTCAAGTCTTTCCCTTCCGATTCTCACCTGTCCTGAACACACTGTTTGGTTAAAAAAAAAAAATCTGTCTTTTTAAAGATAAAATGCAAAGCATTATCATTTTGGGAAGAGAATTCTGGTAAGTTGCTGGCATGAACTCACACCAAATCACTCGCCATGTTGAATATTATCTGTTAGAGGCGTTTCATGGTAGTTAATCCCTTTTGGCTCCTATCACAACACTGCTACACAGAAGCCCCTGTATCTCCCCAACTGCCTGGCAGATTTTTCCTGCCAAATCTTCAGTTCCCCCCAGTGAGTGAGTTGCCCTACATTAGCATGTATATGTTCTTTGTCATAAAAGATTTGACTGTTCTGCCCTGTGTTTAGATATTTAGTTTAGTTTAGACTTTAGACTAAATTGCAAAATACCAAAAGGCGAAAAGACCAAAGGTGAAAGACCAAATTGTGAAAGACCTCTTTTCCCTCCAGATCAGCTGTTTTATTTTCTCTCTCAGTTGATGCTGGCCAATCAAAGAGTGAGCAGAGCAGCCAATCACATGAGCTCTTAACTCATGAACTCCCTTACTCTCTGATACAAGGAGCATCTTTTTTAAAAAACTGCTTTTCTTTGCAATCCATCACACTACTCAATAGGCATGCTGCAGTGGCTTCTTTTTAAAGAAAACCATCCTTCGAGGAGCAAAATCTTTTCTTAAAGTAAAATAATAGATGCACCTACTGAGAGCTTGAGTTGTTCTATTAGCCTTAGTGTCAATGGGTGTTCATAGAATGTTAATGTCACAAATGAAAAGAGGCTTGGACTGGTCTAAATGGATCTGGAGGTGATATGAATTACTGCCATTGATATAAGGAAAAAATATATCTCACAAGTGATGGGCTAGTTACTTAGGTTTTTTTTAATGAAAGCTGGGAATCCAGAGAACCCGTTCAACCTGTCATTACTGCAATATATCAATATATGAATATTTTATTGTCATTTTTAAAAATACAGCCATAATACCAGTATATTGATATAAGCACGCACAAAAATGGGGGTGGTGGTGTCTGTGGCACTACCTATAGTGCCATTGATGACAACACCCTCCCTTTAAAAATCCTGATTATTTAAGTCACATGTGAAAAAAATAAACTGACTCCACAACTGAGGAAATGGAGAGGGAGGGCAGACATGTGGAAGGACCAGGTCCAAACTAATTTGATACTTGTGGATTGACTCCCAAGAAAATTAATATTAAGCTGAACATGCAGGAAAGCCCATGGTTAAAATTCATACCGGAAATAAAAATGACCATTCAAACACTGAGTGGTGGGCATAGGGTTGCCAGGTCTGGGTTGGAAGATATCTGGAGACTTTGGGGGTGGAGACAGGAGAGGGTGGGGTTTGGGGAGGGGAGGGGAGGGGCCTCCACATGGTACAATGCCACGGAGTCCACCCTTCAAAGCAGCCATTTTCTCTAGGGGGGCTGATCTCTGTCAGCTGGAGATGAGTTGTAAAAGCAGGAGATCTCCAGGCCCCACGTGGAGGCTGGCAACCCTAGGTGGGCACCAGTGCTGGCCATGCTTTTTACAGCAATTTATCAGACAGCACAAACCCCTAGTGATTGGGGCCTAGCCATTATCATCATGATAAATAAAAAAGGGGACAAATCTCACCCCTCTAATCACTTCCCAACTGGCTTGCTCAGTGTAGTAAGCTTTATGTCAGGCATTTATGCTAGAAGTTTGGAGACTGGTTAGCTCGAGAATACATCATGGTTGAAGAACAAACAGGCTTTAGGACCAGTCGCTCTGTTCTGGATCAGTGTCTGATTTTGTATCATCTAGCGATGAGATATGGTACCAGGCCTCATGGGGCACTCTATGTGGGCTTTGTAGATTACAAAATGGCTTTTGATAGTATTGCCTGGATAGATTGTAGGCTAAATTAGAGGCATTCTCAGTAGATCACATACTACTTGTTCTTACTCATATGCTTAGGGCTGCCAAATGCCCCTGGGGGGCGGAATTCCCCCCGGTTTCGAGCCCCGATTCCCGCTCCCGCGGAATGGGGCCGCGGGGAAACCCCCCCCCCGCATCCGCGTCACCCGGAAGTGACGTCGGACGCTGGGGGCGGAGCCACACCATTTGAGGGAAAACAAATGGCGTGGCTCCACCCCCAGCGTCTGACGTCACTTCCGGGTGATGCGGACGCGGTGTGCGTGCTATGCGCGCGTGCACTAAGAGGACACCGGCAGGGAGCCCCCCGCTCCCGGCCAATTTCGATTTGGCAACCCTACATATGCTTCATAAAAACAACTCCTTGACTGTAAGATGCACCTATCTGGCAAGGTCCCTGTCAAGAGGGGAGTGAAGCAGGCTGTATTCTGGCCGCTCTGATATTTATTTTTTATATCAGTTCAATGGTTCAAGCTCTGTTGAATCCAGACTTTCACCAACCAGACTTAACAGACTGATACTTGCCTTAATATATGCAGATGACAGCCATTTTATCCTATTCTGAAGTAGAGAAGAACCCTTCCTGTTCTTACAGCACACTGCAAAGAGGAACAACTATCAATAAACTTCCAAAAGGCCAAGATTTTAGTTTTCAGCAGAAGATATGTCAAATATAAATGGCAGATTAATGGACACAACATAGAACAGGCGAAAAATATCTGGATATAGTGTT